TCCATCCATCCATCCATCCATCCATCCATCCATCCATCCATCCATCCATCCATCCATCCATCCCTGTTCATCCATCCCTGTGTCCGTCCATCCATCCATCCATCCATCCATCCATCCATCCATCCATCCATCCATCCATCCATCCATCCATCCATCCCTTCACCCGTCCAAGCTTTGCTGGCTGCTACTGTGCTCAGTGAGGACAGACGGATATGATATGTCTGTCCTGTGATACATCACACCAGGAGCTGCTGGCAGATGGTTATACTGGAACAGTCACTTCTTTTGATGGTATCAAAAATGGTTAAGGACACTTGGATTGATCACCCTGGAGAAGAGGAGCTTGAGGTCAGACCTCACTGGGAGCTGCAGCTCCTTCAGAGGGACAACTCCAATCTTTGCTCTCTGTTACAGGGACAGGAGCTGAGGGAAGGGCTGGAGCTGTGTCAGGGCAGGRWCAGGCTGGACATCAGAGAAAGGTTCTTCCCCAGAGGGTGCTGGGCACTGCCCAAGCTCCCCAGGGAATGGGCAYAGCCCCGAGGCTGTCAGAGCTCCAGCTGCGTTTGGACAGCGCTGCCAGGGATGCACTGGGTGGGATTGTTGGGGTGTCTGCGCAGGGCCAGGAGCTGAACTCAGTGATCCCTGTGGGTCCCTTTCAATTCAGGATATTCCATGATTTTACGATACCATGGATAACAAAGATCCTCTGTTTTATCACAGGGCTCACAGGTGGCAGAAAACATCCAACATATGTAGTAGGGGCATTGTGCTATGTGAGGTGCAGAGGTCTGTGATGGTTTCAGAGACCACCTTTGTTTTTCTACAGAAGCACAGCACGGAACCTCAGCATGGTCCCACCAGCCGCCGCTCAGCCTCCACACGCTGCACAGAAAGGATCATTTCTGTAAAAACGTGTGTGTGCCACAGGCTCCTGTCTGCACCAAACCCAGTGAAGGCTGGGAAGCTGGGCCTGAAGCCAAGGGCAAAGAGCAGGATCTGGATGATACTGCTGTGATTGCTTATCACTCTGCTTGATACTTGGCTTGGCACAAGCAGGTTTCTCACTTCAGCTGTACCTGCCTTCAATTAACGGGTCTGTGCCTGCAACATGAAATAAAAATGCCTGGAGCATGCACAATGGCTGAGGCCAGGAGCTGCAGCACTGCCATGGAATAAAGGAGCTTCTGTGACCTTCAAGAACAATTGCTGTGTTAAGTCAGAGCCTCAGGCACTTGGCATTGAATTCAGCGCAAATGCTCATTTTCTTTCTCCTGCCTCAGCCAAGGTTCTGGACCTCCAGTCAAATTGCACAGTCACTTAGAGAAATGCTGCACTGCTCTGCCACCTTTGGAAGAGCAGGTCTGAAAAGCAGCTCTGCCATCAAGGTTCTTGAGGGTACCAAGCCTGTCTYGCTCCTCTTCACTTCTCTGTGGCTTTGTTAGCAGGGGTCACRGTCCTGACAGGAAGAAAGCTCTTCCCCTCAAACACAGCCTGAAGTACAAAGCATTTCTGTCACCTCTGCCTCCCCTTCYTCTGAAGTCAGTTGCAAGGAGAGAACATCTGATGTGCACAACTGGACACAGACAGCCCCAGATCCAACAGCTGGACATGAGCCTTGCTGGATTCAAAAACTGGTGGGAAGAATCACCAAAACCAGCCTGAGACCTAATCACTTGACAGATCCAGTTGTTTTCACCTGTTGCTCTCCACATTAAAGGAAATTGGTGGAATTGTGTTTTCCTTCACAATTCCTTACTCATTCCTTCTGAGTAGCATGACAGCTACTCAGGTAGAGCAAGAAGCAAGAATGAAAGTCCAACCAGAACTAACAGATCCTTTCCTGGCTCAGCTCCCACACTAGGGACTAACAGGGATGCTCTGCAGAGGTTATCTCACTCCAGGCAAACACAACAGGGTTGATTCTCCCACTTCAAGGTACAATGGAGGTGGCAAAAAGTTTCCTTTTGGACAGGCCCGGTTAAATGCTTCTTTCTTCAGAGATTTTAAACTCCTTTTTTTGGAATGTCTGTCAAACAAGATATGTCACAGTGCCCTCAGGTACTCACCACATGCTTGAGGTTTTGCAAAAACTAGTGAAAATGTAGCAGCACCTCAGAAGAGAGATTTTCCAATTTGTCTATTTGTCCTGCTTATCAAAAGGCCACTTTGGTTGCTTGATGCAGCAAGACCAGGGCAGAGAGCAGAGTCAGCACCACTCTCGAGGACCTGAAGTGCATTTTCAGCTGGACCACAGGTTCCTTCAGCTCATGTCCCTCGAGGCAGTGTGAGAACATGTCCAACCTCCAGCAGTGCTTCTCCTTCTGCACCACCTCGGCTTCCACAGCTCTGCAGCTCCAGACCACGCAAACCTGAGGCGCTTTGGCTGCATCCAAGAGTCCCCGCAGGCACCTTCCTCATTAATTGCTTTCCACGGTAATACAAATGTTTCCAAAGTGAGGCCACTAGAGGACACCACCTTGTCTTTTTACTCCATGAGCTCAGCTGGTTTGCAGTGATCTGCAGAGCTGAAGGACCAGTACAAACTGCTCCTGCCGTGTTTCTCTTGGAGGCCACAATTCTGTAATTACAGGAAGGCCTCAGTGCAGTGAAAGGTTCCTACCTGCTCACTGAACAAAGAGTTTGGAATTCAGACATATTCAATCCTTTCTCCTTCCTCTTCGGGCTCACACATCCACACTCATTTTCTTGTCTCTGAGAGAACAAGAGCCTTTACAGCAAGAATCCACCACATCATTGTGCTGCTTATTGCAGGACAGGATGCAGCGTTAGCCAGTGGTCCTTTCAAAGACATGTGCTTGGTAGAAACATGGAACTTCAAATAGAAACACAGAGTTGGAACCTCCTCCAGTGTGCCACGAACTCAATTCCATCACTGCACAGTGCAGGGAGAGCTCTCAGGTAGGTCCTTCCTTCTGCGGGCAGCTTGGCCACACCTGGTCATGCTCAAAGGGAAGGAAAGCACTGGGCAGAGCAAAGGGGACACTCATTCCGTGACCACGAGCACTGAAATGCAGCGTAACGTGACACAGCGCTGCCCAACGGGGTGAGGCTGTTGGTGTGCGTGGGCTCTGCAGGGCTCCCCTCACGGGCACCACTGTCCTTGAAGCAAGGCTACAGGAGCGAGAACGTGCCGGAACACCGGGGGCCATGGCTGTGACAGCAAGCCATGCTGCACATCCTCCCACCAGGCAGAAAACTCCTCCTCGCTGGAATGATCCCAGGCTGCCACGGCCTCCCAGTGACATGCTTTGGGCAGGGAGCAYGGGAACACAACCACTCTGTGTTTCATCCTGGCCAGTGTGCGTGAGCTCAAAAGCCAGCGTTGTCTTCTTACCCGTCCGGAGAGAACCTCAGCGGCTTAACTTGGGCTGCAGACTAGTCAGAGCACAGAGGGTCAGCACACTGGAACTCAGCGATGCCACAAAAGGTTAGTTTGGGAAGGCATTTAAGGAGAACAGCTTTCACCGTTCTCAGATCAAACAGCAGAACAAATCAAACATAGGAGCAATCAGATGAACGAGAACAGGACAGTTTATTAGCATTTCATGTTTGGAGAACAGGGCCATTAAAGCAAGTTCTGACTGCAGAAAGAAAAATGAGTCCCTTCCCACGGACACCTTTAACATCCTCCTCCTGGGTGACAATCTCCAAAGACATGGATAGAAAGCATAAAAAATTGAATAGACACAGTGAAGATTATTTCTTACCTTCATTTCCTCCTCCATTTCAGAGAGTTTCCGCTCCAGGGCTCGCTTCTCCTGTTTACAAGGATTCATAACAAAGAAGGTCACAAGGATTTAGGAGAAAAATTTAAACTATATTTTCTTTTAAAGAAAAGTAAGAGTCTTGTGTTTCTGTAGGAGTATTCACTGAAGAGCATCCCAAAGCAAGGCAGAGGTCACAACCAGGAGCTGATCAGGTGGGACAGGGCAGCTGGCAAACCAGCAGGGATATATGCTGGGCCTATCTGGGCAGCTCTATTCATACCCCTAATGAAATTATGCCCCATTTTCAGTAATCCCAGTTCTCAGGAGCTGCTGATGTAATTGATTTTGAGCTCTGTAGGTGAAGCCATGGATTTACTTACACTCCACTAAAGGCAGCAATGAGAAAAGTCACTGAGCCGCTCAAATAGGAAACAGAGAACAGGGAAAGGAAATTCCCTGCCTGGAAATCCCGTTTCTCCCAGATAATTCACGACTGCAAAGCTATAAAGCTGACTTCTTTCAGTGCATTTTGGAAAGTGAGGATTACATGGGCAGACTCTGCCATGTGAGTGGCCTCAGCTAAGCCCGTGCCAAGGAGGGGAGATCTGGACTCCCTTCCCAGGACCTGGACTCAAATCACGGCAGGGATGTACCCTGAGAAGGGGGAAATGGGAAACATGCATCAGGAGCAGGATTCACACAGTCTGCCCTGCTCCTTTGCCCTCTGCAAAGAGCCACGAGGCCAGAAGAGTGAGGAAAAGGCACCTTCTGAGTGTGCTGTGCATGACACGTTCTGGGTCACTTTATGTCCACAGCACGCTTCATCCAGGGATTCACCAGTGCAAAATGCAWGAGCCACCCTGGAAACAGCTACTGCATCTTCAGTGAGAACAGCTGGACATGGTTTTACTCTCTAACTCTCAGAATCCTGTATTTGTGGCTACTGTGATCCTAATTCAAAAGAAGTTATACAGGATGTTACCCTGACTTCAACAAGGCCAAGTTCAAGGTCCTGTCCCTGGGTTGGGTCCTGTCCCCAGGGTTGCCTACTTGGTACCTACCCAGGCTGGGGGATGAAGGGATTGAGAGAATCCTTCCACGATTTTGCCTCATTCCCCCACCACCCCAAATGAGTCTTTATTTGTAGGCATCAAGAATGTTTTAAAGCCTAATGGACCAACAGTCCCTTAGTGTGATACAATCCATGGGTCTGCAGCTGCCTATAACGAAAGAGAGGGATCAGAACGAAGTTGATTTGCAAAGACAGCAGCAATCTCAGGCCCTGGAAAGGTCAGAACACAATTACACTGTGTGCTGCTCTTCAAGGCAAAAATACAACTTATCTTTTAATTAACGCTTTCTTTCTAGAAATGACTGCCCTGCACGAGGCACAGGCTATGACTCAGAAGAAAGCAGAGACACGTACCCTCTTCTCCATCTCCAGCATGCTGGACCGGTCAGAAGTTTTCTCCTGTTTCTGCTATGGAAATTAAAAATAGAAAGTGATTAAACCCGAGAGCACTCACAGGGTTCAGCACAAAGGCTGAGACACTCGTAGATACTCTTGCTTGGGAGCAGCAAAGCATTTACAAAACCACTCGCTTATTTCTGTCTCCTCTACGGTATCTTCCCTCCCTCCTTGCAGGAGCTTCCCTGCCTTTCCCATCCTGAAACAAGTGCTGGGTTCGTCATGGCCGGTGCTCAGTTTCTCCAGACAGGACCCGGATTTTCCCTTACCTGGGCTGCCTTTTCCAACTTTGCTTTGATTTCAGCCAGCTCAAGCTGGGCTTCTTGCAGCTTTGACTTCAGCTTTTGATTTTCAGACAGAGCACTCTCATATAACTGAAATGCAAACCAAGAGCTCAGTTAATCAGGCAGCTCCTGGTTAATTAACTCTATTCTGCCACACTGCTCTGATCAGACACATGCCCTCAGCACTGAGCTGAAGGGTTTGCTTTGCTCCCACATATCAGGAGACAGGAAGAAGGGAAAACAAAACCATCTTGGATGCATTATTTATGTTTTCATAATTCATGGATAAGAAACAAGAAAACAGGTCTTGAATTTTGTAGGAATTTTTGCCTATGAGAGGCAAAAAAATGGATGTTTTTAATTTAGGTAATTCTTTACTCAGAGGGGTGGTGACACTTCTCCATTCCTGGAAGTGTCCAGGGCCAGGTTGGATGGGGCTTGGAGCAACCTGGGATGTGGGAGGTGTCCCTGCCCATAGCAGGGGGTGGAAAGAGGTAAGTTTTAACTTAAACTGCAAGTTTTAAGTCTTCCAACCCAAACCACTGTACTCTTCGAAACAAAGAAAATGAAAATAAACTTCTTCTCTTTCTTCCCACTGATTCTCAGGGCTGGGTTGGGCAGCAAAAGGTGGGTTCTGTGGTGTGTGCAGGGACAAAAACACGTTTAAAACTCCTACTTTCTTATAGTCCCTGTTGCTCTCGTCGTCTGYGCGGCTGCTGAGGGCGGCGAGGCGGTTCTCCCTGCGGCTGTAGGCACTGGAGCGGCTGGAGGCACGGTCGCTGTAGGACGACTCGCTCGGGGTGGGGTTTGTAGCTGCTTCCAACCTGTGACGGGAGGCAGATCCAGCACCSTGGAGCTGCTGTGAGCTGGAGCAGCCAGCACTGGGCCCAGCTGGGTGGACTGGTGGCCATGGGAGCAGCCTCCACTCAGCACTGGGCATCACTGCCCAAAACCCACCACCACTACAATGACTGGGAAATATCCCCAGGGTACCAGCCCAGCCCTCCATGGGCAGGGGCTTCCCACAGACCTACCATCTCCATGGTGGGAACGAGCACCATTTCTACAAGGGCACTGAGGTAAATAATCTGAGAGCAAAGGACAGAAGCAAACAGGAAAGGACCAAATAGCCAGGACCAGACTGGATTTGAAGCACAGGGAATCCTCAAAGCCACACAAAAACATGCTGGCAATAGATATTACACAGAAAAAAAATTTAAAAAGAAAATTCTTACCTGGAAAGTCTTTCATGCTGAAGGAAAAAAAAAAAAGGTAATTAGTAATGAGAATTAAAGGGTCAATTCAAAAACTGCAGAGTTTCCAGGCAGCAGCGATTTCCCATCTCTGATACMAGAACCTAGCTCATGCCAGGCTACACAGAGATTTCCCAACTCAAACTGGGAATCTCCAATCTCTGCCTGAATCTTCAACTGCTTCAGCTCCTCCGAAGCATTTATTTTGCTCACCTAAGAAATCCTGAACCTTGCTGCGCAAATCCTCATTTCCAGAGCTGAAATCCCTTCCCTGGAATTCAAAGGGATCRATTGTTTCCCTTTTCCAATGAAGTTACTCTGACTGTGATCACTGTGCCGTGTGTGATGTGGGTGAGGGGCATTAACAGGCACAGGGATCTCCCAGTGCTGGACTTGAGAACATCACAAACACTCTTCTCTCCATGGGCAAGTACCTCCCTGTGGCACAGACAGAYACAACAGCAGCTGCAGGAGGGAGGGAGAAGACCCTCACACCAGGGTGGTTGAAGCTTGCGCTGGGTTATTCTCTCCTCACCAACATCCAAACATCCACTGTGCTGCCTTGGACACTGAGGGGCTGGAGTGTGTCCAAGGAATGGAACGGAGTTGGGGAAGGGTCTGGAGCACCAGGAGAGGCTGAGGGAGGCTGGAAGGCAAGCTCAGCCTGGAGTAAAGGAGGCTCTGGGGGGACCTTGTGGCTCTGCACAACTCCCTGACAGGAGAGGGAAGCGGGGGTGTCTGGCTCTACTCCCAGGGAACAGAGACAGGACAAGAAGAAATGGCCCCAAGTTGTGCCAGGGGAGGCTCAGGTTAGGTGCATATTAGGGAAAATCTTTTCCTTCAAAGGGTGCTCAGGCCCTGGCATAGGTTGCCCAGGGCAGTGGTGGAGTCACCATCCATGGAAATGTTCAGAAAATGTTTGGATGTAACACCTGGGGACATGGTGTAGTGGTGAACATGGCAATGCTGGGGGAACGTTTGGCCTCAATGATCTTAGAGGGCTTTTCATACCTAAATAATTCCATGTTTCTATGAAAATCCTACAGAGGCTGGTTGTGGTAAACCACCATTTAATATTTTCGGGATTGAACAGTTCCTTCCTACAATTGCAKAAATACAGTGGCGACAGCATCCCTGTCCTGCAGGACCTGCCAGACTGCCACAAAGTTTCTCTGTCTGACAGTCATTTATTCAAATTCCAGGTACATTCCAACTCTTTATGGTCCCTTGAACTGGAAATTGAGCCCAATATTCCTCTGCTGGTTTTTCATTGTTCTGAGTGAGCACAAACCTCCCACAGGCACTTCCAGCCAAATCCCTACACTCTCTTTAATGAACAGTCGACACAAAGGACATCACAGAAGCAGAGGAGGGGTCAGGCTTTGGGTGCCCAGACATGTTCGTGCTGCTTGCACTGTCAGCTGCACCAGTAAACCCAGTGCAGACACCCTGCTGGGAGGCAGATCTGACTGCAGGAAGGAAAACGAGTCSCTTCCCACGGACACCTTCAACCTCCTCCTGGGTGACAATCCCCAAACACACGGATAGAAATTACCCCAGAGCTCAGACCTCCCACTTCTGCCTGGCACCCGACAAAGCCTCTGAGCCTGGGCAGGGATCTGGGAGCACATCCCATGGACAGAGGAATTAAGTCACCCATTACAGGGAGCAGGAGGGTGGACAAGTGACCTGGCCATGGCCAGCCCTGCCTGCTGCTCACTGGGACACAGTGACCTATTACCTGCTCCTGGCTACCAAGTTTTTAATTCACCCCACCCTCATGTGAGCTCATCTTGYACTCTGATTCAGGCCAGGAGGGTCCCCAGGGAGCCTGCAGTGTGTGGGCTCTGCAGCACAGCCTCTGACACAYTCTGCTGTGAGCTGAGCAGCACCAGAGAAACGAACTGATGGGACCGGCACGCAGAGCCTGGCGGATGGACTGCACGCTGGACAGAGCAGGGATCAGAGGGACAAACAAACCCTGCTATCCATCAGCATGGTCCCCTCCAACTGCGCCCCCAGCCACCCTCAGCCGGGCTCTTGGGCAGGCCTAGTGCCAGCCCCACCCTGGAGAAACCTTCACCAAAGCTCCAGGAGGCCATGTTGGAGCAGGCATGGACTCTGAGACACAGCAGTGGGTCCAGACCAGTATTGTTTCATTTGCTCTAATCAAGTATCTCTTCTCTTTTCATCTTATAGTTGAGAAACCTCCCAAGACAGCAGATGCATTTCCACCATGGCTAAGCCCTGCTGCACCTCCACAAGCCATGTTGGATGCTGTCTGGAAAGCAGCTCATGAGCTGCCTGATGTCATGGCAGGGACACAGCTCTGGTTTGGGCCAGGCTCTGTGCTTAGCCCAAAGCTGGGGCACAGTTTCTGTGCAGCTGCTCTCCAGCACAGGGCTGCTGTTAGAAACACAGACCACAAATCCAAACATGTCCTGGGCTCATGCAGGGCAGGGAGATTCTGCYCCTCTACCCCWCTCAGGTGAGACCCCACATGCAGAGCTGYCCCAGCCCTGGGCTCAGCACAGGAAAGASATGGAGCTGCTGAGAGAKTCCAGAGGAGCCCATGGAGCTGCTCCAGGCCTGGAGYTCCTCTGCTCTGGAGCCAGGCTGGGACARATGGGGGTGTCCAGACTGGAGAAAAGGTGGCTCTGGGGACACCTTAGAGCCCCTTCCAGTGCCTAAAGGGGCTCCAGCAAAGCAGCAGAGAGACTTTGGATCAGGATCTGGAGTGACAGGACAAGGTTACGTGTCCACTGTCAGAGGACAGGGTTAGATGGGATAKGGGCAAGGAATTCTTCCTGTGAAGGTGGGGAGGCCCTGGCACAGGGTGCCCASAGCAGCTGTGGCTGCCCTGCACCCCTGGCAGTGTCCAAGGCCAGGTTGGACGGGGTCTGGAGCAGCCTGGGACAGTGGAAGGTGTCCCTGCCCATGGCAGGTGGGACTGGATGAGCTTTAATGGCCTCTTCCAATCCAAACCAGTGTGGTATTCCGTGAAGGATTTCCCATTTTCAGCCACACACACGCTGATCTTTCCATGGTGCTTCATAAGCTGAGCTTTCAACATTTGCCTCTTAAACCCCTCAGCAGCCTGACAACTCCTTTTGAATCYTGGCCCAATGACCCAACCTCCCCTGATGAGCTGGAGAAGGGAATTACAGTGATTAACAAGGCTCTTGTTGAAAGTTATTTGTGCACTTTATGCTAATCCCCTCCAGTGACGACTTTTGCTATGATGACAAATGGCCKGGCAAGTAATCCACTCCTTTGCCAGCCTGAATTTCCTTCAGCAAATACACCTGCTAATGGATTTGAACAGTGCTGGGAAATGCCACGTGGCTGTGCAAGGAGACACAGAAAACAGGTAATGAATCCAAGCAGTCCCGGAGCCAGCCTGGCTGCTGGCAGCAAGAGGAAAAACCAATTCTGTCCTTTTTTCACTTCAAAGGAGCAACAATTTCCATATGCAGGGAGAGCAGGGGCATGCTTCCACAAAGGAAGGGTGAGATAAGAAAGGAATCAATTTAAACATATACAGCAAAAAGCAGGAAAACCCCCAGGTTCATTGTATTTACAACTTTCCTGTCATGGATGCTGAGATGGATTGGCTCAGACTGTGACTGTCCCTACATATTTAAAGAGAAGCAAAGTGCCAGATCAGAGGGGAGAACCTGCATCATTCTTGCTGCTGCCAGCATCGAGCAGAGCCACCCTGCAGTAACCTGGAATCACGGAATCATAGCATCAGTAAGGTTGGGAATGCCCTCTAAGAGAAGAACAACGAAACCAGGAAGAGTCTGGAACACCAGGAGCAGCTGAGGGAGCTGGGGCGGGGGCGGGGCTCACCCTGGAGAAAAGGAGGCTCACATGGGACCTTCTGGCTCTGCACAACTCCCTGACAGGAGGGGGCAGCTGGTGGCGGAGGGGAGTCAGGCTCTGCTCCTAGGGAACAGGGACAGGACAARGGGAAAGAAAAATTCTTCCCTGAAAAGATGGTCAGGCTCTGGCACAGCTGCCAGGGCAGTGGTGGAGTCACCATCCCTGGRAGCATTCAAAAAAACCTATTGATGTGGCACTTGGGGACAAGGGCTGGTGGTGAACATGGCAGTGCTGGGGAATGGTTGGACTCAATGATCTCAGAGGGCTTTTCCAACCTCAGTGACTCTGATTCCATGGTTCTGTTGAAACACTGGAGTAGGTGCTTAACTGAGACATCCCTGCCACTTATTCAGAGAGAGATAAACATCTTCAGAAGCCACTGGAGTCACACTGGAGACAGGTTCAGCAGCAGAAAACARCTTTTTTCCAGCTCAGCTTTGCCCTGTGTTTGGGCATGGCACCTTTGGAACCCTCTCCATGTGCTTCCAGCTGCACCTGCTCCATCAGCACAGCCCCCGCCACCCCTGCCCACACTGCCCCATCCTCTCAAACAGTCCCTGGAACTCCAGCAGCACTGGCTGGCTCCCTGCACTGCCATGGAAGGGAGGAAGGAAGGCTATTTGCTCAGAGATGCCATCCCAGAGCTGGAAACTCCAAGGTCAGAGTGAGAAGGTGAAGGACAAAACTCTCCTTCCTTCATTGCTGGGAGAAGTTGGGGATGAACAGAGAGAATGAAGAGCTGAGGCATTACCTGTGCACTTGACTGAACTGGTGCAAGAAGGTTCTTTTCCTTCCTCACTTTTCCTTGAAGGAATTTGTTAGGGTTAAAAAGGGGATGCTGAGAAACTGCTGTATCCACTCCAGCYATCATCAACAAATGCATCAGAGGCTTTTTTCTTTCCCTGGAAAATTTGGAGCAGCACTGCAGTTTTGCCCAGATTCCTTTATTTCCCTAGGGATCAAAATTCAACTAGAATTTCTAAGAGCCAGGGAAGCATGGAGTTGTGAAATTATCCTTCCACAATCTAAACAGGGTCAGAGCACTGCAGAGATTGGGGTGGAGGAACATGCAGGGCTGGAGGCGGCTGTCCTGATTTGGAATCCAGCACGGCAG